CTCAGGGCTTAAGCGCGGACCAAGAAGGAAATTTCAAGTCGAGGAGCGCGCTTAAGCGCGCAACGCGAACTTTGCCATCACCGTCCTAGGGGGCTTAAGCTCCTGAAGCAAGCTTAAGCGCCCCGAAAGATCCAACTTAGGCTCATTCGAGTTTTCTACTAGGATACGAACTCTTGGCCAATAAAAGCACCATTGGGGACCCGAATTAATTAACTTTTCACATTGCAAAACAACTCTTGGTGCTTGGAGGCAGAGGGAACGCGGAGAAACACTCGGTTCATGTTCGTGAGCAGCGGAGACGGATCGAAATCAAGTTTGCACTGGAGATATTGAAGATTCACCAATCATCTATGGAGTTTGGAGGAGCTTTTCTATTTTCTTCTGTTCTTGATTTTGCTATGTCCGGCTAAATCTTTTAGTAGTTAGGGTTAGATGGAATTCAAGATCTTTATTATGTTTTGAACAATTTGCTATGTTAATTTTCCTTTATATCATGAATGAAATTATCTGTTTTTAATGCTTTATATAGGCTTGAATCTTATATAATGATCATAGGTAAATGCATGACAATAGGGATGTTGGTGTGTGATCCATATCTGATAACTTCATCGTAAACGTTATGATTCTAGGGATAGACATAGGATTTGCGTAATCTTTAAGATTCTTGAACTTAATGCTTGCATTCTTGAGGAATAATCGGGGAACTAGGGTTCTTTCAAGATTGTAAAGATTTTAGGGTAACAAGAGATTGAGCTCTAATGACATGCGAAAGAATTGATTAGATTGATACTAAGGACGATTAACGTAAAGAAGGACTTCAAACATAATAAAGAGATTGAAGGAAATCGAAATCCTAGCTACGTTTTTATTTTAACAGTTTATTCAAATCTTTACTTTCTTGCTTTTAATTCTTGCAATCAATTAGTTTTAATATTTTAATTATTCAACTCAAATTCTGTTTCCAAATACAACTTTGATTGTCTAACTAAATTTGCGATAGTGAATTAGTGCTTGAGTATAATCCTTGTGGGAACGATATCTTATTCAATCATTATATTACTTGTACGATCGGTGCACTTGCCGTGAGTAGCTTTTGTCGAGCGTGGTAAAATGATCATTCTTCCCAAGTTATGAAACAATTGTACATCGTTAATTTTAACTTTATTACACCTATATTCGGGTACAGTCCAGTTATTATCTACGACTACTAGCTAGCTATAATAAAGGACATACGTGTCAGCAAAAAGGACGAAGAAAGTGACGGAATTGCTAATAACGTTTGGAACAATGAGTAAGGGTGGATTGCATTAATTAAGTTAGTTAAGGTTTCAATATCCTGCCGTATTTTTCTGTTAATGAATTATTTATAAATATTTTTATATGCATTTGATTTGATAGTCCTAAAGTTTTTTTTAAATGAAAATGGCGGGATTTTATAAAAGTAGCAGCATGGTATTTATCTATATGCATGCGTCGACTATGGACTTGTTAGGTGAACCTGCTTATAAAAAGTTACCTAATAACAGAATTTAATTATATTTTTATAAAGAAAAAAATATTTCTCCAGTAATAGAGAATAAAATTATCTCCACCAATATTTTGAGATTTAGAAAAAAAAATACAGTATTTTAAAAATTTCACTTTCTTTTATATAATAAATTTTACTAAAATTATTTTATATTCTTTTTCGAATAATATCGTTATGAAATTATCTCATATTGTTGGATAAATATTAATCGTTTTAAAAATTGTGCAACACTATTCTGAGCTGCATTTAAGTTTGAGTGAATTGAAGTTTGTTGCTACGTATTCCGCATGCCAAAATTGATGTTTTGCATTTAAAAGAAAAAGAAAAAAAGCAGATGCTAGGTTAACAGATTTTTATCCAAATGCCACGCGAATACTATTTTTTACCAGATTGTCACACGACGTAATTCGCCATCACTGGTAGCGAATTACGTTTGCTAATGATTTCGTGACACGTGATCACATTGCGTACCAAATTCGCTATCACTAATAACAAATTATGTTTAGTTAACTTTTTTCTGCGAAAATATGTCATGTGTCACAAAATCATTGGCGAACGTAATTCGCTACCAGTCGTAGCGAATTACGACACGTGGCAGTCTGGTAAAAAGTACTATTTGAGTAATTTTTTTTTCAATAAGTGACACTTTGGTGGATCTCCCTGCTAGAAAGCCCTAATTTGGCTTCAAATTACCAAACCCGCAAATAACCACAAAGGAACTTTTATTATGTTTCCTTAGAGTTTGTTTTGCCTTCCAGAAAAAATAGTTGTTATCTTTCTTATTTTAAAAGTATTTTTTACAAATGTTAAAGCTATTTTATATTTTTATAAAAATATTTAATTTTTGAAAAAATATTTAACTTTTGATTTCTGTTTTTTTTTTTAAGTTAAAATTTTATACTTCTAAAAGAAGTAGGCTTTTGTCTTTTTTGTGACTTTTATTTTTTTTTAAAGCAGACATCCAAACAAACTTAAAGTAAAAAGTACTTTTTTTCTTGAAAAAAAGTAACTTTTGAAAAAAAAAAACTTATCCAAACGGACCTTGATCATTTATTCTCACTTTTCTTTTATCGGAAATTAAGATGATAGGACATCTATGTTGACTATACTATAAATCTACACCGCTTTTTTCTCTTGTACACCGCCTTAGCTAAGAGCAATAGAACAACAAAATAATGATTAAAATTCATGATCTTTCAGCTATATACGAAGAACTAAATTAAAAAGTCCGTTTCATTTCCCATAAATATCAAATTCAATGATTTATCAACATGGAATGCAGGCTTCAAAATTCAATTCCAATAAGGCAATAATTATCCAAACCCTCTCGCACATCATGAAGCCACACACCTCTTAAACGACTCCATTGATCTTCTGCATGGCTGATTAACATTTTGGGACTTCACAATGCGCGCTGTTCTCTTATGATTCTGTCCACATGAATTGATCTTGCCGTCAGCATGCTACTGTTTCATATGTCTATTTCTTTGTTGCTTTTGCCTTGTAAAGATATTTGGGTTACCATGCCACCTTTTTCCTTTAGGCACGCCCACTTAATTAAAGACCAACATCGTTGGTTAATGCAGGATATACTGTTTTTTTCTCAAGGAAGGTTACGGTGTTGATAAATTATTTACGACCAATTTCGCGTGACCAAATGGATATTTAAGATTTATCTTTGTCGACTTCAATGTCATAATATCCTTATTTATTTTATTTTATTGGTAAATCATAATATCCTTATTTAAATAACCATGCATCATCCAAGTTCCGTAAGTGTTATTTTCAAATATAGATCATAAGCACGAAATTTTTTAATATGTTTCAGGATTAACACGGTCCTTTTATTAAAAAATTGATATTTGGACAATTTTTTTTTCTCTTTTCAACTTTTTCTCTTTCTCATCTCCGTTCCATCAAATTTTTTTTACACCCGGATAATAGAAATATGCTCCATAAGCACAAGGAGAAGGAAATTGAGAACAAGTAATAGCTCACGTGGGAACGTACCCATGTAGTGTTTGATCGCTTACGATATCTAAGCCCCCATTAGAAATAGGCCAGATTGCTTTTATGAGCACCATCATTGGGATTAGAGAATGCTTATATAATAAAAGAAAGATCTGAAAAGGGGTTTCCAACAATAGGGCTTTCCTCAAAGCAGCAGACAAATTGTTATTCAATACAGGTCATTAAGTCATTAATCAGATCAGATAAAGTCATTCGGAGGGAATCTATTTTTGCACCTACGCCCCCTTTGATTGAATTGGGTAAGGAATATCTGCTGCCTTTAGACAAAGTTCAATGAGAAAAAACGAATAAGTAATGATGACACCGGATGTGATGAACTAGTATCAATGACGTGGTGATATGGGTTATTACGGAAAGTCCTTAAGAAACATCAATACTATTCATTAAATTATGGAGAATTAGAATAGTTCTCTCATATTATATAGAAAAGTCACGTGAGCTCATCATTAAAGGATAAAAAATAAAAAGAGTGAGTGAGATTTTCGAAGTGAGATAACATGAGATAATTACTTCATGTGAAATGAGAGTAGTATTTCCCTTAAATTATTCTAATAGTTTAAACAATGAAATTTTAAATCTTTTATAAATTTTTAAGATTATTTTAATTTATATTTAATAAATATGAAGTCTTTAAAAAATACACTTAGCTAGGTTGCCTTCGATCCATTTTGAGTGATTGTACAAAAGTATTAATGATTGAGTCACAGATTATTTCTTTTGTATTTGTGATATCCATTAATAAAAGGATGTAATTAAAATTTATTCTAATACGCTTTGTGTTGAGCTTAATTTTGCGTGTAATAGAGTTGAGATAATAAAGGGATAGGTGATATTGATATTTTTCTCTTTTTGCATGTGGATAAGATTTTGTTATTTGATTTAGTATGTAACAAAAATTTAAAATTTGTATTACGTATCGAGTTATTTCTTTATCTAATACTTATATTATTTTAACAATCAAATAAACTATTTTTTTTTCCAATGCTGTCCCTCATTGTTTACCAAATAAAACAGACTACTTGTAATAAAGTTCCACTTCCACACGATAAAGAGAGACCCCTGACCCAGCATCGCATAATTGAGACACATAATGAGCTAGTTTCTGAACTTAAGGGGACAAACAATGTTGAAACTAATGATGACTATATAGTCTCTCCCCATATTGCCTAATATAATTTTAATTATCCTCTCAATCATATCCCTTTTATAGCCTTCTTGGCCGTTTCTATAATGATTTTACGAACTTCGGCCACAGTGATATAATAATATAGGATCTCTTCTTCGTAAAATGCTTGGATAGTTAGATGTAACGATTAAAAGCTCAAACTTACGCATTACTATAGCTCGAAACTCACCAAACCTGTTTTCGTGTCCTTGCATGAAACAAAAAAGAAAAAAAAAAAAACTTATGCCATTTTGCTAGAGAAAAATAAAAAATGGATTATGAATCGGTCCAAGCAGCAAAAACTGGCATCTGAGGCAACGAAAGCGCAGGCCTGAGATGTGCTAATGGCTCCCAAGAATCCACGTTACTAGTTGGAAGGGTAGCTAATAATTTAGACGTTGTTGAAGGCATTCCAAAGAGCATTGGCAAGCTTGTCTTATCTGGGCTTTCTTCTCTTGAACTGCTCAAGCTTGTTGCAAGCGAAGAAGGATTTGACATATTTGATCCAATCTTACTCAATTCCTCTACTTCTTGATGAAATATGTTATCTAAAGCCATCGAGAAAGACTGATCAGTTCTGCAACTCTCAATTTGTTGGGAGGATTGATAGAGAACCATCTTCAACTCTGATTGGCTTTTGCAGCTCTTCTGCATTAGAATGGCTTCTTGAGTGTCATCATATATAGTAGAAGGTTTATGGTTACTAGCCTCGTTCCCATTTCCACCGCCCATCTCTCTGTTCCGTCTAGCTAGTTCACTGCTAAGAAGGTCATTGCTAGCCATAATTTTTTCCACATCGTATCTTGTTATATCAAAGTTAGTAACAGCATTAACTCCTCGGAATTTTATAGCAGCAATGTCGTAGGCTTCAGCTGCTTCCTCTTGTGTACCTAAAGTTGTATTTCAATAAGGGTAACATTGGATCATATTTTATTTTATTTTTTTGGCTGAAAATATGGGATCAGAATTTAGGTTAACAATTGAAAAGATTAATTAAAGTTAGGACTGTTTATCCTTCTGAACAAACAGCTTTAGTAAAAGCTGCCTTCGGGACTAACAGTGCTCTACAATATTAAAGTGGTTCATGATCAGCCTTATGTGGATGAAAAAAGAAGAGTTCAAAGAGAAGAAGCACATCAAAGATTAGCTTTTTAAAGTCATAAAGCACCCTCTCGGTCTCTTCCTATTATGAAACATGGTCCATGAAATACATTGGCTGTTTGTTAAAGGAAAAATGTTAATAATTATAAAAAAAAAACAGTGAATGTGAAAGAACTCACTAAAGGTTCCAAGATATAGATCTTTGTTTCCAGCCACTCTCCCAATTCGAGCTTGCCACCTTCCATGTTGATGGTGTCTGCTACCAAGTTAATCAGAAGTAATGGAGTTTAGAAGAAAGGAATTTCTTTTTCCAGATATAAATCCCATTAAATTAAATTGCCATGTATATAATATATTATGCAAATGCTAGCCTATGAGACCTTGTTACTCCTCTGTACATGGAAGCCCCTCTTGAGAATCCGCTGCTTTTTCTGATTGAACAAAGTTGAATGTTATGGTTATAAACAAGTAACATGGTTGTTGACTTAAAGATGATACAGAAGCAAAGGTTTTACCTGCGTAAATGAGCAATACATTCTTGTCTGGTCATGTTCTTCATTTCCTCATGTTCGTTTTGATAATTTTCCAACTTTTATAACAACAAAATGGCATATCAGTTACTGTCACTGAATAAGACCCTTGAAATTGAATAGAAACTCAAAAGAGAAATGAGAAAGAAATTAATCATTACAGGGAAATTTATATGAGTGGAGGGTCCCCAATACTTGAGTGCGGCCAGATCATAAGCTCTTGCAGCTTTTTCTTCCATATCATAACCCCCTATTACAAAATTTTTGGAATCATTTGTATAAGGATTGATTTTTCTCTTTTGCTATCATCATAAGCAAAATATTTAACGATAAAATTAACTGCATGCCAGTTAATATATGCTCAAGGAACTAGAGCAAGAAAATAACAATCCTGGCTTTGTAAATCCTTACCTAGATAAACTGAGATTCACCGTACATTTGAGTAGAATCATCCCCCAATCAAAGACAAAAAAACAAAAAAGGAGGGAAGAAAACACAGAAAAGAAACAACAGTGAGATATTACTACAAAATGCAGAGCTTTTCAAAGGAGAACAAAATCGAGCTCAATATATTCGTTTGACCAAAAATATACCCGGAAAAAGAAAAAAAGGTAAAGGGATGGGAAGATAGTCCTTTTCTTACCTTGCCTTCCTTTCCTGCCTTGGCCCTCTTTCTTGCAGCTATTATCCCATAGATGAGCTTCATATCTACCAGTCCACCGATGCCTGATGAACAAAACATCCTTTAGAAATAAAAGAAATGAAAACACTAAAGGAGATAAACAGTTTAATATGTTAACTATGGTCATGAACACTTTTAATGTAACAGAAGCACCTGTAAGATTTAGAAGAAACCAGAGGATAACCAACCTTGTTACACCTCTATATTGAGATGTTCTTTGACCAAAGGTATCAATGGATTTCCTGTGAACGATTTGCTTCTTATTCTGGTCCACCATCTCAGGCCCTCTTTTCTTCCTGTCAATGACAACAGAATCAATGAGAGTAGTTGCTGTCTGTTGTGAACAAGTGACACAGTTCGATTGTGAGTCAGGACTCATGGACAAGCTCAATGAATGTAAATCCCCATATATCATTGATCCGATGGACCCTGATTCACCTCCATTATCCTCCACAGGAACAATCATCTTTGAATCCTGTGCATGGCTAGTAGGAAAGTCCCTTGAGACCCAGCTCTTCAGACCAAAAATTTCATCCTCGGCCATATTTGGGTGCTGGAGACTTTCTGAAGTCTGATTTTGCTTGGACCCTTCTAACATCACATCATGATTTCTTAAGGCAGAATAATATGAGAATTGTTGTTGCCTGATATTCTCTTGTACATGATTTAGGTTATCTAAGCTCAGAGGCGTTGCTTCTCTGGTGTTGCATTCATAGTTAGGGGTCGCTATTGTCTGGTCACCTAAGAAATTTTCTAGTTTTGGTGTTGAAGTAGTTGTCACTGCTTCACATAAAATAGATAAAAACAAAGAAGTCAACAAGTTGAATAATTAGTACATTTTCTCATAAAATATTCTCTCCAAAACAAGAGATTTTTGAGCTAACCTTGTGCTTGTGATTTACTCAGAGCTTCTATTCCATAGAGCGAGCCATCGGATTTGAGGGGCATGACAGGCAAGGCTGAATACAATCCAACATTTTCACCTTCCAGTCCATAGTAAAAGCCATAGTTATGAAGATGTGTAGGGTGGTAAAAGCTTGGTGGAACTGCTTCAGCAGCAGCAGAGGAAGGCTGTGTCTGAAGATGGTGATGAGGTTGTGAAGAAACACCTATATCCATTTGGGGAGAGAGGGAGAAACCCAACCAGTTATTTTGATCGTTAACGTTAAAGGTACTACTAGTTCCTATGGGCTTCATCTTGAAGACTCAGTATCACTACTTAACTTCACTAGTTAACAGAAATTGTAGCCAAAATTAAGGCAAGACAACTGAATAATTGGGAAACAGATAAACTAACAAGTAATCATGCCATATTCTTGTTAAAAATATACGTATGTTTTTTTGTTGGTTGAAAGAACAGAATAGGCCAAATCTAAGTACCAAGGTAAATAAATCCAGCATGTCCCTCTGTTTTTGTGTGTATAAATGTGTGCGTCAGCGGACCAATTTGTAAAGGGTACAAAGCAAGTTCCTTTAAACTAAACAAAAAGAATGTGTTCCAGCAAGCAATGCTAGGCATACTTCCAGCATTACATGGGGATCCGTGTTTGAGAAAGACATCCCCTTTTGCTTTATTCTACGCTCCCTTCTTCCCTTTCCTTTTGATTTTAATATTTTTGATCAATTAATTGTAAATAAACTATGGGTAAACAACTTCTCCTTAGTAGAAGTTGTTTTTTTTGCAGCTCAGAGAGTTTTTTTTATGGGATCCATTGATTGGTTAAGAAAAAATAAAACAAAAAACATATCACACATTCCAATATTTTGTGATGTGAGTTGCTGCACCAAAAAACTTCTCCATTAAAAGGAAAAGTTGTTTACCCATAAACTATTGATTGAAACAATTTATTATTATTAATCACATTAATTGTAAAATTTTATGCTAACAATAGATAAAATTAAATTCCTTTATATTTACCAAAAAAAAAATTCCTTTATTATTATAATGGGTTAGGATCATTTTACACCAGTGTAAGTTACACTCTTAATCTTGTCCACTGATCCCATTTATATCTAAGGGCTCAAATTTTTTAGTAATGTGAGCCATTGGATACAAGTGGATCAATGGTCAAGATTGAGTGTAAGACTTCTAACTCTTACACCAGTGTAAGAATATCCTGCCCCTATTATAATTATTCTTTTAGTCAAGATTGATCGGTGCACAATCTTGTTTGGTGCTCATACGATGGAGAGGGAAATCTTCAAGAAGGACTGGTGAAGCTCACGGTGGTTGGGCTTGGAGGTTCAGGAAGAGGAACAACGTTTTCTCTACTGTTTTGTGAAGATTGGTGATGTCTACTCCACTATTTGAGCTCTGATTTACTTTTGTTTACAGATCTGTTATGCTTGATGTTTTTATTCGTTTCAAGTTGTAGCTCTTGTTGATTCCGTTGTCTTTTATGGTTTCTCCATATGCTTATTTTTCTGTCATTGTATCAGTGTACCATAACTCTTTCTGTGATTCTTGATATCTGAATAAAGTGTGATATCAGAGGGTGTTTAACCCTCATTAGGCCCCAGGACGTAGGAAACTCACTAATACTGAGTTTCTGAACCTGTAAATGCTGGTGTTCTGTCTCTTTATTATTTCTTTAACCTTACTTGTTATGCGAATCTGGTTATTGTTTGAGAAAAGAGTTCCCAAAATTACAACATAAACCTAGTTAATATTACTGTTTACTTGCTCCATAATTTGCTTTCTTCCACCGCCACGTGCTCTCCCTTCAGGCACAACGAGACGTTCGTGCAAGAAATTAGGGTGAATGATGTCCCTATAAAAAAATATAATAGGGTCAAAGCCACGGGGTGGGTTGGGCTACGGAACTAAGCACTGTAAAGGAAATTATGATATCGGATAAGATCTAACCTGACCCAGTGTGATTTGGGTAGCCATGATTGTCTATGCCATAACTCGAGCATCTAATAAGTAAAGGATTTTATTTTTCTCATGTTATAAGAGAGATATTATCTTATGTTGTGAGATACATTAAATGGGATCCACCAATTTTTTTAAAAAGAAAAAAAAAAAGAGGGGCACATTTTTTTATGTGAGTGTGACATGAGAGATATATCTTATATAACATAAGAGTATAATTTTCGGTAAGTAAAACACAGAAAATTTGTTTTGTTTGCGTATTGCGACTACTTGAATAATAAAATTTAAATTTAATGAGGTGCAAGACACAGCGCAAGATCCTCTTTTATGTGCTTTTGGATGGCACTGATTGTGCTCAATAAGAAAAAAAAGTAGGAGGTGGTGATGTCACTAACAAACCTCAACTGGGAAACTAGCGACTAGCGAGTAATCTCAATCTCTTTTTAGCCTACCTTAATTACCCCTTCACAGGCTTTCCTTTCAACTTTTTTAATTTTTTTTTTTCATCTTCAGTTTTGATTTTCATGAGTTATATTTTTAATATTAAAAATATTTTTCTTATGTCGTTGGAGATAGTTGTCTTATGTTAATAAAATAAAATTATAAGAGGAATCTACAAATAATTAAAGAGAAAAAAAATAGAAGTGAGACTCACCTTTGTTATGTGTGTGTACAAATTTGATTTATCTCATGTTGAATGAGATAAATATAACCCTTTCAATATATATATATATATATAGATATATAAGGGTAAATATTTCTACAGTCACTTTAAATAAGGTTATCTACAGTTATCTAAAAATTACGTCGTTTTGATTAATGAAGGGTGTTTTTGTAATTTTAGGAGAATTAATGAAGGGTGTTTTCGTAATTTTATTTATTTATTTATCATATACATTTTATTGAAACACCTTTAATTAATTCACCTAAGATTACATAAATACCCTTCATTAATCAAAACGACATAATTTTTGGAGTAGCTGTAAATAACCTTATCTAAAGTGGCTGTAGAAATATTTTATATATATATATATGGGTCAGGATTATTTTACACCAGTGTAAGTTACACTCTTAATCTTGTCTGTTAATCCCACTTATATCTAAGGGCTCAAATTTTGTAGTAACGTGAGCCATTAGATACAAGTGGATCAAAAGTCAAGATTGAGTGTAAGACTTCTAACTCTTACACCGGTTTAAGAATATCCTGCCTATATATATATATATATAGCACTTCTCATATTCATTGGACATCCCAATATGGGTCCCGCGTTGGTATCCCATTGAAACAGGAGCGCATCTATGGTGAACCGGGGACAGGATGGTTCGTTTCAAAAATAGAAAATAAAAGAGAATAGGGAAAAATATAAGAAAAGAGAGAGATAAAAGAGTAATTTTTTTTACCCAAAAAAGAAAAGGATCACCACATTTTTTTATACTCGTATTAAAAAAATCCTTGAAACAGGGGATCCATGAATTTTATCCATCCCAATATGGGTCCCTCGTTGGTATCCCATTGAAACAGGGGATCCATGAATTTTATCAAACGGAGGGAGGGAAACCGTGCCACTCCTGCTGTGCAAATCTAATTAAAAAACTTGAAACGCCATTAACGTGAAAAGCATGTGCTTAAGTTATTGCCGTAAAGCATTTTTTTGTTTTTTGAAAAAGTAAAAGGTCAGGTGACTATAAATAAAAATCCCTCCATCGCTTGCTTTTTCAAAGTCTCACCGACGTGGATTTCTAACTATAGTTAAAAAATTGGATAAATTTTTTAAATATTATTATTTTAATAAAAAATTATGAAAATGTATTCATTTTGAATTTACATGTGTATAGCCAGTGGCGGAGCCGGCTCAAATTTGAACCCGGGCCAAAAAATTGTATGTGTATTTTTTTTTAATTTTAGTTAGTTCATATCATAATATATTTAAATTGTATTAAATACAGAACATATGAGCAAGCAGCACTAAGAAGAGTTATAATTTTATTAAATATTTTTTATTTTACTAAAAATAATTATTTTTTTTATACAAGTGAAAATTAGACACATAATCTAATACAACTTATCCAAATCTTTCACCAAAAATATTTTAAATTTTACATAGGGTCAAATTACAAATTGTAGCCCGAGCTAAATTACAATTTTAATCTGGGTCAAATTATAATTAATTATATAATTATATATAATAAGTACAATTTGTTAAAATTTAGCCCGAGTCGAAGCCACGCTCAGAGTACATGTGGCTCCGCCACTGTGTATAGCACTCAAACACGTTTTACAAGAGGCGTGACCTGATAGAGAGAGACGTCACAGGTAGGGGTTTAAATGGGCTATGCTGGCCTAACCTATAGCCCGACCTACATTGAGCCTGACCTAGCCCATCCTACATTGAAAGGTAGAGTATGTTTAGGCTTATAAGAAAGCCTTTTTAACAAATAGGCCGTACGCCAATTTTGTCAAGCCTGGCCTAAAGCCTTGTAGGCTGGCCTATTTAATTTTTAAAAATAAATTAAAAAATATATATTTATTTTAGGTGGCAATTAGTACCGACCCTTGTCTTGATGGTGGTTTAAAGATATTTCAATGAATAATATTCTCTTGTAGACTTTATTTAAGCTTTGGTTGACCTAGTAATTGTATTTTTTTATTTTTCCCATTTCTTTAACTCTATTCCTCTCTGATATACATTATAGAGCTGGGATATTATGTTGACTCTTTCTTATTTATCATTTTTTATTTCTTATGAGAAGTACTACTGCATGCATGAATGAAACTTTGCTCAATATATATTTTTTACTATTGTAAAATTTTTAATGCTCACTATTGAAATTTATATCTCGTGTAAGAAAATGCAGCAATTTATGAACACGTTAATGACATGTAATGTCAAGCGAATATTTTAAAAATTGTTAAAAAAAAATTTAAATTTTTTTTAAAATATATCACGAGGGAGGCCTACAAGGCCTGTAAGCCATATCAGGCTCTCTAATTTTTAAAAATAGGTCAGGCTTGACCTATAAATAAAGCCTTTAGTAGGCTAGTAGGTCAGATAGGCTGAAATTTTTTTTCGTAGGCTAGGCCAGGAAGGCCAAAGCCCAGCCCAGCCCATTTACACCCCTAGTTACAGGAGGCGTGTTTTAGGAGAGAGACACGCCTCACAGGGGGCGTGATTCAACTTAAATATATATATATATATATATATATATATATAAGTAAAAAAAAACACATTCGTTTCACCATAACTTTGGCCTTGGGTACCTGAATCAAGTTTTTTTTTATTCCACATAATTTTTCAAAACGAATGTGTTGGCAAGTCCGTCA